TCGATCACAGAGCACGGAGTCTCCGTCAGTACGTTCTGTTCCTTGTACTCGGTCCCTGCCCAGTTGTAGGAACACACTCATCCCTCCTCCAAACAGCCATGACTGGCTGAATGAAAGAAACCGGCTACAAAGTATCTCAGGGGAACACAGACACTCCAGGGAGAAACCAAAGCAATTCTTTCATTTGAAAAAGGTAAGTGAGAAAAGCATGCATTTGCAATTTCAGGTGACGCTGCTCATAGCGATTGAGCCGATGATCTAAAATGTTTGCAAACGGGTTGTCCCACCTCACAAGACCTACTTAGGCTGTTTCAAAAGAGGTATCCAGATGACATGTTCTCTGTTGCCTGTGGCCTGGCATGTTAGTAAAACCAGGGTCTTCTCTTGCTTGTTCAGCACAGAAGATGTGTTCGCAAAGACCAAAGGGCAGAGATCAGGCACGACAGATCGTGTAGATAAGCAACAGACATGGGATCTAGATTTTGCTAGAATTACAAGGTAAGTCCATTGGAAACACAGGCATGTGTTAGCTTAAAGCGCAGAGACCGGTTTGCAGTCTCGCTCGGGGAAGTTTACAGTGTTTTGGCTTTTAGCTTTTATGGGTCCTTTCTAGGGCTCTGAGTCTAATTTTGTACTTGTAATTTTGATTCTTAAAAAAAAAAAAAAAAAGAACCACAAACCCTCACTTTTATAAGCAAGCCACGAGTGTAATTTTAAATACTCGGGTAATCACTAAAAAAGTAAAATGGCACAGGAGAAATTAATTTTAGTAATATTCTGTATTTAATCCCATAGATCTCAAACAGTCTTGTTTCGATGTGCAGTCACTATGAAGATCATTGCGTCATTTTCCATGATTCCATGTTCAAAATCCGATGCGTATCTCATACCTCGGCCCAGCTCAGCTCAGATTAGCATATTTCTATATTTCAATTGCTCGAAGGCCACCCATGGCTAGTAGCTAGTGTTTGGACAAGTCATTCTAGACCCTCTTCTTATAAACAGAGTGGCCCTGTGAGGTGGGCAGTTAGAGAGACACGAGCAGAGGGAGCATGATGGGCCAGAGACAGAAGGTCACCAGGGTGAAACCCCAGGTGCCTAGAACAGACAATCGTAGGAAAGGACCTGGTCCCCAGGGTGAACTTTCCTCCCTTGCTTGTGGCTGGTCCTGTGGCTTGGACCCCTGACCTTTCAGATCGCTCATCATGACTCCTTGACCTTTCCCCCTAGAAATGACATCGAGGCCTCGGTTGTATTTCAGCTCCAGGCCCAGAAAAACAGCAAAACCAGACAAGCGAGGCCAGGCTGACCTCAGGACCAGCTGCATCGGATAGTGACCCTCTGCCCTGGTGCTGACCATCCAATCAGCGGAGACACTGACCCTGACAGAACACACCGGGAAGCTGCTGAGTAGTCCCTTGAAATCTTCCCCTGGGACCTCCCTAAACTCTCCACCCTTAAAACCCTCAGGGCGGAGGATCTGGATGCTCCTCCTCCTGGGAGCACGCTCTCGCCTGTCCCCGCCCCTTCCCCTCCCCCAGGCTCCTTACCATTATTTTCACTTCTAAGCTCCAAGGGCCCTTCCTTTACCTGTATAACTTGTGTCCTAAACCCATTTCTTTTATGGACTAGTTCTACCTCTGCAATTTTCCAAATAAATGTTCTCCTATAGTTGGAGTCTTGGCTCTGAATTCTTTCCTAGCCAGAACTCAAGTACCAAGGTTGCTGAACCCAGGTCCCATCTGACCCTCCCCCCCCCCCCGCCTGCCCCCAGGTCTAACACCTGGTGCCATTCCTGGTGCCCCAACACTTGGACATGTAATGTAACCCTTCTGTCTGCTCACTGCCGGTAAAAATTGAGTTTATATTTCTTCTAAATCCTACATCATGGGGTGAAATGGGGTTCACTAGGTCCACAGAGAACAGTCCCTAGTAGGTGCTCAGCAAACCACAGTCACCGTTAGGACGTGCAAGCCATATAAAAATCTTAGGCAACGGTCATCTGGCTAAACACTTGGCCTCTTTAATTTTGGATTTTAGTTGGTGGACTTAAGCAAAGTGTAATGTGAACATTTCCCCACTATGTTAAGCAATTTCTGGGCAGTCATGTTACCAAAAGGTTAACCATTAGGTCACGGAATATTCTCAAGAATAGCTGGTGGCTTGATCCGTTGAGGTTGAGGTCTGGAGGGGTTGCACCTTCAGTGTCAAGGTGGAAATCTATGGGCCCAGGTTCCAGCCTGACTATAAAAACTCACCACAAAGCCCAAAGTAGAATCGGATGGGAAACAGTGTGAAGACTACCACTTACTGATCATCAGTGGCAGCCCAACAGCCCAACACTAAGCAAAGTACTTTTTACATATACATTCACTTAACAACAAAAGAACTCAACACACAAAAGCCCGGAGAGCAGGTATTCTCATCCTTTTTTTTTTTTTTTAAATTAATCCTCACCTGAGGATACTTTTTTCATTGATTTGTAGAGAGAGTGGAAAGATGGGAGGGAGGGAGAGAGAGAGAAAGAGAAACATCGATGTGAGAAAAACACATTGATTGATTCCCTCCCCCACGTGCCCCAACTGGGACCAGGGATCGAACCTGCAACCCAGGCACATGCTATTGACTGGGAATCGAACCCGAGACCCTTTGGTCCAAGGGCTGACACTCTAACCACTGAGCCACATCAGCCAGGGCACATCCTCATTTTAAAGATAAAGAAACAGAGGTTCAGAATGGCTGACAAATTTGCCAAAGTTGATACAGCTGTTAGGTGACTCCTTCTATTACCCTGTGATGATGCCTCCTGGTCTCACTCAGCACTCACAGGTGACGTGGGCTGGGCTGATCTGCCTGGGCCTGGCCCTCTGCGGAGAAGCATGAACTAACTGTTGTGAAGGCAAACACTTCCTCTGTCCATGAGTTGAGTATAAAAGTAGAAACACAGTTTGTAGAAAAAGGGACCCTTGTCTAGTCTACCTAAACATTTGCATCAGCAGTTTGTTTCGATGTGATGCTTAGGCACTAGGTACACATTTATTCTCTCATTAGATAAAGCAAGGCAACCAGATGGAGCCATGACTGCTTTTTTATTAGTGCTATTTATTAAGAGTTTGGCAACTCACTTGCAGAGTCTGGTCCTGTAGGCAGCAGCCAGGGGAGTTGTGGGAGACAGGGTTTTTGGTGCAGCGGTATGGGTGAAGAGGGGAGTGGCAGACCCGGAGACCAACCCCAAAGAGCACGTGGCTCTTGTTATATCTGGCTGGCTCAGCAACTATCCAAGTTATGGGGCTTCAGGGGATGCTGTCTAGACCAGTTCTTTTGGCCCTGGGGTTGGCAGAACACAGAACCAGAAAGCCAAAGCATGGTCCAAGCGCTCTGCATTTTTTTTCTGGTAGACAGTCAAGCTGGATGGAAACGAAATCTCAAACAATGACCAAATAGCAATAAACAAGAGAAGACAAAGCCGGCACAAGACTGTCTTCAGTGCTTGATAGGCAAGGCCTGGCTCTTGAGCTAGAAAGCAGGTCATTTCTGAAGTGCGGGTCCTGGAGGGAAGGGCACCATGGTAAAGATGGTCTGGCCTTTTGCAGCTTGAGGTCCCTGGGTCACTGCGTAGAGGGTTCGCTAGCCTCGGTGACGGTGCCACGACAGGAAACACACACAGATGTGTAATTGAAATAATTTATTTACCACTAGAGCACCACAAAAACAGACATACATCGTGTTAAAATACAGCGTAATCAGTCATCAAAGTACAAAACAGCTATTCTTATATTCCATTGTTTTTAAACCATGTCAACCATAAAAGTGAACTGCTGCTTAAAACATTAAAAACTGCCCCGCCCCTGCCCCACCCTGCCCCGCCCCGCCCTGCATACTAACATTTCCCCTGCCCCTCCCCCTCCCTCCCACGGCAATATTTACTTATGGGAAATAAAGACCTTATAGAACCCCCAAACTAAAAAAAAAAGATTCAAGAGATCTTAAAATAGAGCATTTAAAATATTATCAGTGCATTCATGAGGAGAGACAAAATAATACAAAACAAAATGTCATTTCTATCTGAGAAGAAAATACCTGCAGATATAAAAAGTGATTTACATAGAATTCATAGAAAAGTGGAAGAGAAAATGATTCAACACACTCAGATCCGGGCCTGGGTTCCGTCCACCACGAGGGTTGTTTACTACGATGCCATTTATCTCTCGCCTTTCCAGTTTTCCAACTTGTAAGTCCAATTCGTCACTTTCATTAATGGTCAGGAAATTGCAAAAAATAAAGTTTACTGTGTCAAACAACTTCCCGTGGGATTTACTCTCACCGTGCTGCTTTTGAAGTGAAACTGCAAATATTCCATTGTTTGACCTATGAATTTTCATCTTAACGCTAAATAAGGGACAATTGACGTGTTCTACAAACTCTGACATGAGCTTACCTCCTCGGCAATGATGTAGCAAATCATTTATTAATTCAAAGTAAATTCTAACCTCAGATCTAGAGAACTCTCGTTTGTGGGGGGAAAAGTATTTTCTGATCACGGGAGAATTTAGTCTGTGACTGTTCAACCTTCATAGAACATCTATAAAAATCTTAACTTCAGTGAAATAAACTAGATGACTTATGCTGACCTGTTTTGCTTTTTCTCTCCCTTAAAAAAAAAAAATCAATGAGAAGGTAAATCTCTCCACTTCCCCCAGAACACCTAAAGACTGATTAAAGTAAAAGATGTTTCCTATGAACTGTCTACTTTTTAGTTACAATAGGATTCTGTGAAAATTCAGATTGAATCAAGTTAGAGGAACCTTCCTTAACTCAGTCATCAGATCCTTGAGCCATTGCTAAAATAAAAACATTTACCTCAGTGATCTCTGTATCTATAATATTCCCCAATTTTCCTAAAACAGAAGCTTTTTAATGTCTGAGTTGATTAGTGATGATGCTTTGAGGATGAAGGAAGACAACTGAACGCAAATATATCTTTTTTTTTTTTTTTTTTTGTAAAAGAAAAAAGGACAAGTGGACTCAGGTAGCTTATGTCATAATAATGGATAATTTATGAAGCACAGTGGAGCAAATACTATAAAACCTGTATTTTTAGTGCAAGTCAAAATCTAGGGTCTTTACTCAAAAATAATAGCCAGCTAAAGGAAACACACAATTCTGAGTGATCATTAAACAAAAAGCCCCAATTTATATCCAATCCAAATCATAGTTGACATTATTACAGAACATGAAAAATATGGTAAAAATTTACACATTACATGCAAAGTAGTTAATGTTTTGATTTAATAGTTTGCAAAAAAAACGATTTGCAGCTGTGTTTCCAATTACACTGGCTTCTACATCCATCTATTGCAATAACATAGGTATGGTTACATATACCGAAACTAAGAAGAACCTATAGCAAAACTATACAGCAATACTTACAGGTCTGAAGTTTGACCAGTATGTATCAAAACATGGCAACATTTCACTGGTGGGCTAAACTGACAAAGAACCATTTACCATTAGAAAGAAGAAAAAATCTTCCAGACTTATTCTGACGGAAAGTTTCCTTTATTGACAGGCATTTTGGCTTTGAACCTTACAACCAGCTTCCTTAGGCAGTTGGTACATAGTGTTTCTCAGGGTCTTTATCTTAACACAGACTTGCATGGTCATAGAATAACTCACCTGGGTTTTCATCCCACTCATATGACCTCTCTTTTTTTCTGGCTCGTTTGAGTTCAAATTCCTTAAACCATCCACGAGTTTCTGGCAAAGGATTTGGTCTCCACTTTATACACCTGTTTTATTTTCCAAGGGCAATGAAATGTTCATTATATAGTAACACACAATAAATAACTCACTGTTAACTCTAAGAGTGAAAAGGGGAAGGGTTTCTATTGCATAGCAATACAGAAAAATCAAGGGAGGCCCGGGACAGGAACGTATGTACAACTCCACTCAACGGGATTTTTCCTGTTTTGTTTTGTTTTTGTTTTTGTTTTTTTTTCTTTCACATAATTAACACTAACAAATTCTTCCAGTGTTTATTTTTTTCTTAAAAAAAAAAAAAAAAGGTTTTGCTTCTTGCCTCTCTCACTTACAGAGGAGGCGAAATGTAGAATAAAGCCTTCAACGTGTTTTTTGTGTTGTGTTGTGTTGTTTCGGATGCCAGTTTTAACAAACGGAACACCGACTTCCAAAGTGTCTGAACTAGTACCGCTTTTTCAAAGAATTTTTTTTTTAACACTGATGAAGCAAGGCTCTCTTATGTTTCTTGTTACATTGTTATTGTTGTCATATCATCATCATCATCATCATCATCATCATCCTTGTGTGATGATCATCTTGCCACTTTTCCAAGAATCTTAGCTGCATTTGCAAGACTTGACGATCATGTTGGAGAGCTGTTCGATCTTGGGGGTCTTGCCAATGTAGTAGAGAATGGTTAAGGGTTCTAAATCCTGGGACACACAGCAAGGAGAAGCAGATGCTTCTGGATTGATGGTGTTATAAAGGCTGAGAACCTGAAAGGACACGGGAGAGAAATGACGTCAACAGAGAAAGGCAATTAATTTTTTTTTTTAATCCTCACCCGAGGATATTTTTCCATTTTTTTTCAGACAGAGTAGGAGGAAGAGAGAGAGAGAAACATCGATGAGCAAGAGACACATCTATTGGCTGTCTCCCGCATGACCCCGACCAGGGCCGGGAACCAAACCGCAACCCAGGTACGTGCCGTTGACTGGAATCGAACCCTCAACTCTTTGGTCCATGGGCCGATGCTCTAACCTCTGAGCCAAATCAGCCACGGCAAGGCAATTAATTTTTAAAGAAACATTCCCTATTCTTATCATCAGTCATGGCCCTGAATGGGCAATTTAAAGGATTTTTGTTTACAATTTCCTTTTGCTTACAATTTCCCCAGTTATGATCAAAATGGTGTGTCCCTAGTAATCAGTGAAGTCATCATTTTCCTACAGAATCCTTTACTCATAGGAACAGACTGACACACCTCAGAGGGAAAGGGGGCGGGGCAGGAAGAGATTAACCAAATGCCTGATGCACAACCAATAGGCACAGACCACGGAGCGGGGGAGGGGTGTCCACGGGGAGAACATGAAGGAAATCCGTAATACTTTCAACTATAAAGATATAAAAACCCATTCACTACACTAAATACTGTCTGACAAAGTGAAGACATCCAATAAGTGAAACTAATTATTCTTAAAAATGGCAGATTGAACAAAATCGCTCACTTGACAGATTTCACAGTTTTCCCAGTATCTTCCTTTTGACCCCCATCCCGGGCCCCTAGAAAATGGATTTCTTGGTATTTGGGGTTGTCTCCACACTTCTATGGAACTCAAATTGTGTCACGAGTGTTTATTCTCAATTCTCGTGCAGAGAGAGAGTTCCCATAAGGTCAGGCACGCTTTTTTGTCATCATTGTTGTTGATCCTCACCCAAGGATACTTTTTGATTTTTAGAGAAAGGGGGGAGGGTCATTCACATGAGAGAGACACATCGATTGGTTGCCTCCCAAACTTGCCATGACCAGGGCCAGGGATCAAACCTGCAACCCAGGTATGTGCCCTTGACCCGGAATCAAACCTGCAGGCTGATGCTCTAACCGCTGAGCAACACTGGCCAGGGCTACGGAGTTTGTTTTTTACCTTATAGCCCTAGTAATTCTTGTCTGGGCAAAGAAGACTCGTGCTTGGTGAAGAAATGAATCCATGGATAAGTAGAAGAATAAAATGTCACAAGAATGCCCATCAGAGCTTTCATGTACCCTTAGGTGGAGAAAAAGACACCTGTGTGCAGTGTGGCATTTTCTATGTGGCCTGCTCAGGCCAAACTAATGTCACCCGAACTTCCATTTAAAAGAAAAAAAAAAGATAAAAGTATTTGCATTTATCATTGCTTTATGAATACAATGACATGAAAAGCAATCCACATTTTTTGTTGTTCACTTCCTTCCATTTTGCTTTAGAACAATAATAATAATAATAACAATAATCAGCCCTCTATTTAGCACTCCAGTGGCTAGCCAGACCTCAGAGAGAACGAGGAAGCAGCTCTATCGTTGGCCCTGCAGCTTTAACCCCGTTCCTTATCGGAGGGGAATGTGACTTTTACCCTTGGAGGCACGCAGGTTCCCCAGTGATGATAAAGTGTCATTTCTAAGGATGCATTAATGTGTTAGTCAAACAGCAAGTGACCTTTTCCTCGAGATTCACTGTGATTTTTTTCAGCCGAAGACAGAAGACCTGTTCAGTTCAGCAACACTGGTTACTTTATTGAGCTACCTCTGGGTTCTTGGGGAACTGTCCAAAACACATGCTTGTGACCACGACAGTTATTCTTCCTCTCTCCTTGAAAAACAAGCACGGTCTCTGCCTTCACACACTCCCTCTGTGTATCTGGGAGGAGGAATTATGTTTCTACTTGGCAACGGGACCTTGCCCACATTACAGCTACTGTTGCCACAGCCCAGATGAAGCTGCCTGGCTAGAGAGCCGGGACAAAGGGACAGGCATGAGCAAGCTTCCCTCACATGGCCAAGCGCATGGTCGGCTCCGAGTGCCAAAGGCTACGGGGGGAGGGGGGGTCTGTGAAAACGGCTGAGGGCAGGGGAGCCTAGCATATGTAGGCACTTAGACATAAACAGACTCCGTGTTCCGCTCACACATGATTTTTCATAGGAATTAAAGAGGAATTGGATGGTACGGATTGGCTAACATAATTGATAACCCTGATCCTCTTGAGTTCGGCTGAATGTGTTATGTGATCTTGTTGGCAGTGGATTCGTTTTCCTACCCTGCAGTGAAGGCAGTTTTTCTAATGCCTCTTTAATACGGGGATTTACAGAGGCATAACCCCGATGGGAAACCACACTTCAGGAATGAAACGCAGCAAGACAGAGCAAACGGAGACAAAGCAAGGAGTCTGCCTTCCAGGGTTTGGTTTGTCACCAGCTGTTGGATCTTGGGAAAGTCACCTATATGATCCAGCTTCCCCTTTCTTTAGAAAAGTAAACAGTCTGGACAAGATGACTTATACAGTCCTGTCCATCATCAGGCATCGGGAAGAAGCATCTGAACAGATATCGTTATTACGTAGAAAAAGTCTTTGCTAGTCTGGGTCGGGAACCCCTAGCATCTAATCTAGAGTTTGCCTTCTGAATTGGCCTTCGATCCTCATTGAGGTAACTTGGTGACATTTTCAGGGTCTCGTTCACTTTGGGTTATATTGGAAAAGACTTAGAGATACTAATTTTCAAATCATTTTCACACGCATCACCTTTTTGTTTTCCACATCAACTCTCAAGTTTGGCATTATTTATTCTAGACACAACTTTTAATGGAGACGTTCCTTTTTGCTGATAAGAAATTGAGTTTCAAAGCAGTGAAATGACTTTCTAATTGTCACGCGCTAGTGACTCACTCTGCCAAAGCACCTCCTGAAGCCCAGTGTTCCTTCGTTCAATGCTGACGTAGGCACCAGGACGGTGAGAATTCACCTGGAAATACAGTTGACCCTTGAACCGCGTGGGTCCACTGATATGCAATATGTTTCAATACATATACAGTCATCCCTCTGGATCCCAGATTTTGCATCTGCGGATTCAACCAACTGTAGATGCAGAAGACCAACGGTAGACACTGCTCTTCTCTATATTATATAAATGACTGAAGCATCTGCATTTTTTGGTATCCATGAAGGGTCCTGGAATGAATACCCTGCCAATGCAGAGGGATGGCTGCAATGAAGTTTTGGGGGAGTCAAAAGTTATGCGTGGATTTTCTATTACGTGGGATTTTCTATATCGTTCAAGGGTCAACTATTATCATCAGGTGTACATAAGCAACCCCAAAAGAGAAAAAGACAAGTCAACCAAATGCTTACCCTACTATGCTGAGTGTCTGAACTCCATAAATACGGGCATGCCCCAGCACAGAAGTTGGCATTGTACCCTTTGGGTTCATGGATCCATTTCCACCCAAGATCCCTCTTGAAATCAATGTAAAGTGGACGTAGGCAGCAATTATCCTGCACATTTCTGTGAAAAGAAGAGCAATGGAGATTTTAAAGCCGATTTCTCCCCTTGTCCCTTACCCCAAACCAGAAAAGGGACTCATGCCTTCATTCAACAATATCTATAAGCACAGATCAGGGGCCAGGTCTTCATGGTTTTATTGTCATTGAAGTGACTTTCATGGTGAGGTGTATGGTAATTTGCTAGGGTGACTTTCCCTTTTTAATTCTATACCCTGACCCCCTATCTGTGATCTTCAAAATCAAGTCTTACCCCTGAATGATGAGGTACAAGCAGAGAGGTGGTTGATGGAGACCAACCTCAACAAGCAGCACTGCACAGTGTTGCCAGGCAGCCTCTACTGCCCTTTCCAATACAAAATGATGAAATACAGCAGCTGTTCTCAAAGCTCCATCTAAGGCATTTTCCTCTGAAAAGGAACCCTTTCTTTCATCTCATGCTTCTTGAGGAACGAACTGAAGATCAAGAAACATGGAGTCTTGCTTAGTGCAAATACTGGCCCTGGCAACCCCAAAGGCCATGTCACTTGTGAACTCTGACACTTGGAGCATTTTGTCAGTGAGGACGCCTCACTGCCCCATTCTGGGAAGACAGAGTCTCTCTCTGCGCAGGCTTGATAAGAAACCACGGAAGAACATTCGCATTCCTCCTCCGTGAACTCACGTGGGAACGGGAGATACATGTGTGCATCCTCACTTCTTGCAGATTCTGCAGCTAAAGACATGACCCATGACCCCTCTTCCACACCTCTCATCTCTGTTACTGTGTCAGCGCTAGGACCATGGGCAGTCCGTGTAAGGACAAAGGTTTCCCACAGATGGGAGTCTCCCTAATTAAAAAGTCACCATCATGCCCTCCAAATAAGTTTCCACTGGCTTTAGGGAGCAGAGAGCTTATTTTCTTCTTCAGCCCCAAAGTGCTTCAGAAAGATTGGGGCGGGGGGGTGGTTCAGGGAGCTAGTTTTCTCCCTTGAAACTCCATTCACTGGTAGAGAGATGATGACTACAACACAGAAATAACTATATCGGGCCTCTGGGGGGAATGCTGTTAAGAAATGAGGCGGCCACACTCCTCTAGCCCTAAGCATGAGCGCAGGTCAAGTCAGGCTGTAGTCAAAGAATGGGCAAAGGCAGTCAAAGGGTAACCAGACGCAATGACTTTGTTTTCATTGTATTTTCTTTACCTAAAGCAATAGGCTGCATCCAAAGCACGCTTCTTCCGCCGGTTGGGCTGTTGTGACTCAAGTCTGTAGGAGGGTAACAACATTAGCAGGAGATGTGGGGTCTTCCCACTGTTTTTTTTCCTAGTGGACTTTATAGTTTTCTGATCACCACTGGTATATGTGGAGGTGCCATCAATACCTTAAAGAAATGCATTTGGGTAATAAACATTTAGCTTTACCTTCATCAGATGTTATCAGCCATATTTCTTTCTACGGTCACAAATAGCAGTGATGACCACAACGTCAGCCAAGCTGGTAACGGTCATTCCCCACAGTCCTGGCACAACAGGGCTAAGCAGGTGACAATGGACACTTCTAAATGGGGCTCTCGTCAGGAGGCAGTTCAGGTCCAAGACAGGGCTTGTAGGTTATGAAAGTCACTGCAGAAGTCTTTGACCTCTAGTCCAAGGGCAATCTAGGCAGTTAATTTGAGTCGATCCTCAGTTCAGGTTGTGTTCAAACCCCTCCACAACCGAACACACAGCGATAGAACCTGCCTTGTCACCCTCTGGGTTGCTCTCTTCTTGGGACTAAAACTTTCCTAATGAACATAAACTAAGACTTACACTAAATTGCAGGGAGTTCGGTTCAAATGAAACAGAAGTCACCCTTACCGAATGCTATTTGGGGAAGCTGGGAAGAAAGGGCTTTTTCATTTGGTTTATGGCATCCTCGATACTTTCCTGATTCCATCTGAGATTTAGAAACTCAAGCTCCCCAAAGCACGCTCGGGAGACTGCCAGTTTAAGCATTTAATCTCCACACCCTAGAGAATCATGATGAGGTTAGAGACTGAAATAAATCTCCTGACCTCTGGGAGTATTTTTCCATGGGCTAGGGCCACTATCGCCCTTCTGCAAGTGGATGGAGGTCCCAGGTGGTATCACTTAGGGATGGGAACTCGGCATCCTGACCTGGGGGTGCAGGGACAATGCTATACATGCAGCCAGCACCCACTTCTCTCCCAACCTCTCATCGCCCAGTGACGCATTATCCAACACGTCATCGGATGATGAGAGAGGAGAAGTCTCCATGATGGGCATCTTCTCATTCCCCTGGACGTTTGGCTAATTCACTAACAGGTGAGCCAGAGTCTGGGGAAGACCCAAACCTTGTGATGAGTTTGTAAACTATTATAAAAGTCTAATAAGGAAGATGCTCAAAATAATGGGCACCAGCTGGAAAAATAAAATGGTTCCCAGGCGTTTCAGGTTCAAGGGGCTGTGGGACGAGGGGACTTCCTTCTTCAGTTGTGGGTTCCTGACACTGGTTTGGGGGATTTCCTTGGATGCATGCAATCTTCTTCTCTGGCGATATTAGCATAGATGGGAAACCGGTTTGCTTAAATGGAGAAGAAAGAGCTTAACTATTTAATAGTTTGTGGGATGGTTGAGTCAGTCAGTTGGTATTGACAAGTCATTGGGCAGCAGAAACTAGGAACCAATCCCTTTCTTCCAATCCTTTCTGCTTTCAGTATCTTTCTCGAACCACATCTTTACCCCAACAAACGAAGCTCCCCAGGCCTCGCCAAACGATGCCATTTTCACATGCAAACTGACGTCATCACCCACGAGATGATCAACAGAGGCCCTCCCCTCCCCCACCCCGTATGACCAAGTTTCAATTACCTGCAAATCTTGCTTCTAGTTCTTCGCTTTTATTGGGGATGATGTAATTATTAGATGGCACAAAGGTGCAGCAGGGACAGTGTAAACTTATTTTAAATCCCAGGTTCCTGTCTGGAAAACATTAAGCCAAGGAGGTCATTCGAACGTGTGTCGATGCCCTTCCACCTGCAATCAACTCGCAATAATTTAGGGTCGCTGGGCAGCTAGAGAGGGAAAGAGAGGAGGATGGGTGTAACCTTTATGGTGCAGCCACTCGTGAACGGCGTCGGTGACGTCAAAGGAGAGCCACTCCCCCTCCGCTCTGGTTTTCACGACTTTGCTGTCGATGTAGCGCTGCATTGGAGACGTCAGGTCTTTGGATTTGAGGATCTGGAGGCGGGAAGAGCGAGAGAAAGCGCTCAGTTGGCCTACGGACAGCACAAGGCAACCGAAGCTGCGAACCGTCTTCCAGTTCATTACCCAAATTTAGCTCCGCGCCAGTGAAGCCATGTAGCTCCTCTCCAAAACATGGCCACACGCAGGAAGACAGAACACCAGGCTCTTCGCCATGAAAAACAGAGCTACTAAATCAGCTGTGTGTTATGATAGAGGTGACAGCACCCATAAACCCGGGTGTCTAAAAGAAAGTGACAGTAATTATTTTACTTTGCTGACATAAGCTTTGCAAGACTTCAGCCATAAATTCTATGCTATTAAGTTAATGGTTTTGTTATTCGGCTTCCCGGCTTATTTAATTTGGGGAGTTGGGATGTGGGGAGGGGTCCGGTTCAGAGGACACATGCTCACCCTCTGCGGGCCCCTGAATTATAAATCTCCTGGTAATAAAGAGAGAAAGGTCCTAACCCTGGGTCCTAAATCCACTGGCATTAAAAACCATGGCATGCCTCCGCTTCGGAGGTAAGTCTCCAGCTGGGATGTTTACTCTCGGCGTGACTTGTTAGGATTTATAAAGATATTCCATATCCCGCGGACTAAGAATGGATTGGGGCAGGAGAAGCCTGGCCCAGGGTGTCGTGAGAACCTGAAAAAATTTTAAAAATCAGCCTGAACGCAGATTTAGGAGAAGGTACTTGTTTCCAATAAGTAAAGAGCCATTGCAGTATGTTCCTGAATTTCTGCAGGCAGTCAAACCAAGATCCTCAGTCTCCCAGTGTTATAGTAACTCCCTACCCGGACCCATCGCTTCCTTCCCCCTTGGTGCAGGGGCTCAAGCCCTGTGTTTTACACAGTCACCCGCGGCCATCTCCCCCAGATGGCTCCGGTCTCTCCAACAGGTCGGTAAGCTTCCCCGGGATCGTGTCTCCAACCTCACGTCTTTCAAAGCATAGCTCTCCGTCTAAGTAAGTGACTAGCCGAGTGTCTAGAAGATTTATTTACTGTCCTTGTAAAACAAACACGCATCATCTCCCTCTGGTCTGAAAGTGCACTCCTCTGCGAAGTGTATGTGAGTGGTCTCAGGTCATTTGGCAACAACTGCGTCCTAGAATATTTGGCACGATAGTAGACTTTTCTTTTTTTTTTTTTTCTGGATTAAGTAAGTTTACAAAAGGCAAGAGATTCATACGATTGGACTCTGAGGTGCCGGCATGAATTTTAGACACACCCTACCCTACAGATCCCTCAAGTCCAACAAACCACACCGAGTGGACAGAATCGGATCATGGTTCCCCCAACAGGCAAGAGATGCTCTTTGTGAATTAAAGGGCTGGGCCATGCTGGGTTCTGGGCTCGGCACATGTTATTTAATTTCATTTAATCCTCAAAACATTGCTGTCAGTTAGATTACGTAGACTGAACTCCAAGAGGTTAAGTAGCTGGCCCAGTGTCTCGCAGGGAACAGGGCGGAGAGCAGCAACCCCATCATCTCCCGCGTCAGCACTGGGTTCAAGACCCAGGAGTGCGGAGTCGGGACTGGAATGTGGGTCGCCCTTACCTTCTTCCAAGAAATGCAGAACAGAATGACGGAGGCGGGGCTTTTGAAGGAGATTACAGTCAATGTCGGTACTGGGTGGAAATAGAAAGTGTGGAATGTGTACACAGTTAATGCTGACATGAACCTGTAACTTTAAAAACACAGCTTAACGTCCGCCTGTGGTCCGGAGAGACCCGGGTTCGGTTCCCGCTAAGGGCATGTACTTCGGTTGCAGTTTGTCCCCGGCCCTGGTTGGTCGTGTGGGTGGCAGCCACTCGATGTGTCCCTTTCACATCGATGTTTCCCTCTCTCTCTCTTCCTCTCTCTCCCTCCCACTCTGTCTGTACAAAAAATGGAAAAATGTCCTCGGGTGAGGATAAAAAAAAATAATAAAATAAAAATAAAAACACAGTTTAAGCCCTGGCCAGCTTAAGCCCAGCAGTTAGAGTGTTGGCCCGCGGACCAGAGAGACCCGGGTTCGGTTCCCGCTAAGGGCACGTACCTCGGTTGCAGTTTGTCCCCGACCCCGGATGGGGTCGTGTGGGTGGCAACCAGTTGATGTGTCTCTCTCACATCGATGTTTCTCTCTCTCCTCCTCCCTCTCTCCCTCCTCTATCTGAAGATAATGTCCTCGGATGAGGATTTATACACACACACACACACACACACACACAGAGCTTAACCTCAGCCAGTTGTCTGGAAATCAAACGTCGCTTGGAAAACTCTTCCAGTTGGACAAAGAAGACTCCACTTATCCCATTCAGAATAAATGGTATAATTAACTTAACCTGGGGTAACAATGATAAAACAATAGTCAACATGTTTTCAGGCATTTCCATCTGCCTCATCGCCTAAAAAACCACCAACATACCCAGGACTCATTTTTTTGTCTTTGAATTTCTTCCCCTAGATGACCTCCTGTAATGATGTGTCATTTTATGTAATGTTTTGTAGCACAGTGTGTATCTTATTCATGTTTCTATCCTTAACACTTAGACACACTGTCGCTAGAGCAAAACACTTTTTATTGTGAAATTAATTACATATGATACATACTAATATAGCTATATCTATCAGATATATACACAACATATAACTATAACTATAAATATAAGTATGTCCTGTCTCACTGAAGACACAGAATTTAAAAAACAAAACAAAACAAAATATCATGACCATTTTGACCAAATAGGCAATACACACACAGGAAAATCTATGGAGATTCTTCACCTCATAGGGAAGGAATCAATCTAAATTATCTTGCTTTTAAAGTGGACCAAAGAGACCCGGGTTCAGTTCCCACTAAGGGCATGTACCTCAGTTGCAGTTTGTCCCCGGCCCGGTTGGGGTCGTGTGGGTGGCAGCCACTGGATGTGTCTCTCACGTTGATGTTTCTCTCCCCCCACCTCTCCCGCTCTATCTGAAGATAAATGCAAAAATGTCCTCGGGTGAGGATCAAAAAAATAAAAAATAAAGTGGACCAAGGAGAGCAAAACTCTTCTGAAACATTTTTCTTTGTGAAATCCCTTTAGAAAGTAAGTGTGTCCTCAGCCACCTCAGCCACAGAGCCAACACTGGTAGGTTCTAACGACGGACAATTTTGCATTGTCACATGGGGAAAGGTCTCCCATATTTTTTTATTAGTTCAAGACCAAGCCCATTTAAACCACCCAAGAAAGACAGCTAACCAGCCACCTGATTGTGAAACGCGGACATGACTCCGGTCTGGTGGGTTCGCCGTCTCGAACTTTCTGGGCAGGACGTTCTCAGGCTGCTTCTTGCGGTCTACCTTCACCCTTGTCATCCAGTCCTGTGCGCAGACAGGACACAGCTGCTCCCCATCAGTCAGAGACTGTCCCTCAGACTCTCGGAGGCTATTATTAAGTCCTCCTCTCTAAGCTAAATAAACCCAGTTTCTGTAGCTCATACTTAGAGGGGCATTTTCCCAAACCTTTCATCACGTGGGTCGCTAACAAGGGTGAGTGATGCTACAGAAAAGCGCTCCTCCTACGGTTTCGTGAGTTTGCCCCAGAACTGGCTAGAAAACCTTCTAATCACATCTCCGAGTCTCGCATCTTGACTTCAAAGGTGTCTTCTAGCTAAGAATAGGCACAGCCTCCCTTGCCCCGGTTTATCTTCCATTTGTCACCCACGCTAATTTAAACTGTAAGGGAAGAAAACCCATCAGTCCCTGCTTCGATGCAAGAGTTTATACAAAAGTGACCAGGTCAGTCAACTTCCCCTTCTATTTTAGCCTTTATTGTCCCTGCCTGGCTCTCATCTCCCAGCAACACAGCCGTCGAGTGTTGACAGTTGTGAATATACAGCTGTTTTCTGTAGAAACACAGTTGGTTCTAAACCCCTTGATGTGTCTTTACACGACAGAGTAAATTTAGAGGGACGCTCTCTCCATTTGACTGGCCAGCTCCACCAGCAACCTCCCTTTGTCCCGAAGTGCACATTGGCTGATGCCCACTGGGTGCTGGGCCCCCCTGCTGGCAAGCTGCATGCGGCAGGTTCCAAGCCCTCTGCTCGCCAGGTGAGTTGTACGCTCAGCAGGTATCTACTGTATACGTTTCCAAACCTGTTGACGCTCGTTGGACTTGATATTGTAATTACACGAGTTAATGAAATGGTCTAGAAACTGACGAAATACGGGACCCGAAGGCCAGAGAGCGGTTGCTGATGCACACGCCAAGTGAAGTGCTTTGGAAAATCTCCAGAAAGACAAGTTGCTTTAACAAATTGGGGGGACGGAGGAGGGTAAGTCTGGTGATTCCTCAAAGAACAGGAAGCGGGGACTCAGGGACTTGTACACCAATGTTCACAGCAACATTATTCAGTGTCCAAAGGTGGAAACAACCTAAGTGTCCATCAGTAGATATACAGGTGAACAAAAGGTCATAAATACATACAATAGGATTTTTTTTCGGCCATACAAACGGATGACAGGCTGATGCCTATAACAACACGGCTGAATCTTGGAAACATTACGCTAAGGGAAATAACGCAAGCACGGAAGGACAAATACTGTATGATTTCACTTATCTGCGGTCCCTAGAGCAGGCAATGCGTAGAACTAGACAGTAGTAGAGAGGTCAGCAGGGGCTGGGGGTCGGGATAATGGGGAGTTATAGTTTAATGCACACAGAGTGTCTGGGATGATGGAGAAGCTTTGGAGATAGATAATGGTGATGATATCACTGTTATCCCAGGTTAAGTTCATTATACCATTTATTCCGACTGCGCTACAACATTGGGAATGTACTCAATGCCATTGAGTTGTATAGTCAAAAGGTAAATTTTACGTTATGCATATTTTACCGCAATATTTTTTCTATTTTTAGATGTGGCAGAGACTCTGCCATAAAAGAAATAGCAAAAGGAATAATATGATAAATGCCCAGAAGGATCCTGCATTCACAAGGCAATGGTCCTGAAACTGTTCTCTTCTTCA